ACAAAATCATTGTTAGTACCTTCATTTCGTGTGAAAGTGCACAAGTAAAGGATTCGTAGATTGATCTCATTAGTGGAAGATGACTAATTTCCCTGAGGCTTTACTGCTCAGTTGTGATTGATGTAGTCCACAAATCAACCTTCCTTGTTCGAGTAAAAAGGGATCAAGCTTTCGTCCATCATGTGATGAAAATCGTCAGAGCCGGAACACATTCTTTCATAGGCTTCAAGTTAACCTAAGAAGAATCCCTTGTAAAAACTGATTCGAAGTGAATCAGAACTTCTAATTCTCTACAATTGGATGTGGCTTTGATTATAGTAATTAAATCGATACGGCGATGATTTGATGATCAAAATAAAGATTTAAAGGAATGTTTGGATAAGTAGATTAGCTATGAAGATTTCGATGCTAGATTGGTCAGTAAGGATGAATGGCCAAATATTATAGTAAATATGCTATTTGACCAATAGTCATCATACTTAACTTAATAAAGCTCGAAGCCAAAAAATTCATTTTTGATATAGGCAGTTTTTGAGACTATCGTTAATTTTTGGATAGGAACAATAAGTGCATAGTAAACTAATTTTTTTTCAATAAACTTGCAACAAAAATGTGAGCATCTTAGTTAGAAATGTTTTTTTTGAGTAGGGACTTCAGTTCCTCTCTTGTAACACCCTATATAATTGCTACCTGAGCCGAACATAAGTTTGTAGCTAATGCTGCAATGAAAAGTGGGCAAATGATCTTTGATTAACCATGTGAGAATACTGATTCTTTGCTGGAGTAGTGCCAGTTTCGCCTACTAGTTTTCTTGATTTATTGTCAACTTGAAACTTTTGCAAGAATTATTTCTGATTGGCGAAGTCAGCCAGGATGTCCCATAAATTGCGTCAAGCTAAATGTAGTATTCAAGCCAAACAATTAAAGAACAACGGGAATCGGCCGTCATCCTCTGGTGAAGTTGATCTACAAGTCTCTTTCTCATGCATCCTTATGCGAAAATGAATCCATCACAATAAAGATATGAGTCAAGGTCTGTTACTCCCTTTATAAAAGATGGATTTCACATTCGGATGCCTGAAACTTTTAAACGAGTAAAGTACTATTACTAGTCGCAATCGTCAGAAAAGGAAATATTTATAAGTTTGCACATATCTAGAACATTATTAGTTGTATCACTAACCTTAATGACTATATTTAGGATTTGTCCTAAGGGTCACTTATCATCCTTATCAGAGTACTCTTCTATAATTCAAAAGCAGGACTTGTGCCATGTAAAATTTTCACCTTGCTTGCTGTCACTGGCTTCACTAGACTACAGGCAATTATGGTTGTTCAAAAGCAGGCGTATTACAATTCATATATTGAGACCACAAGGAAGAGGCTAAGTTGAAGTGATACTCTGTTCATCGAAAACAAATGCTAATCACATTCTAATAAACGTCCAATGACGATACTCTAAGGAGTGAGTCAGCACCAATGTTCCCATACCATCACACTCCACCTTTGCCTACTCGCAATATCGATCTGCGAGTACTTTCAATTCAAGTCTTATCAAGGGATAAAAATCAGCCATAAAATTTGTTAATTAAAATTGTTTGTTGACCTATTTAAACATACTTCTTCTCAATTACCTTAAAGATATCTATTTAATCTTGGATTTAGCCTTGCTAAGCTTGCGTGTGCCTCCAAGCCTTCGAAGTACGCTTTTACCTCATCTGTTTTGAACTATAGTGCACCTTACTTGTAATTTTATTTGTCATTCAATTAACTGAAATAATGCATAGTGAACTATATTTTTTGGCCCCACTTCCCATGTGTATCGTTCAGTCACAAATGGCTTCCCCCTCTGTCTCTCTGTCTAGTCCCATTCAACCTGCAATTTGTCCCACCGTTTCGACCTCTCGTCAAATTGTCGCCTGTGTTTCTGAAGGCAACCTGTTTGTCGGTGACGCAGAAGCTGATATCTGGATTCCGCTAACTCAGCTACCTAAAAATGGTTAGATTTGTACTCTCATGAATTAAGATAATTTCGCTTCGATAAACATTGTTCAATATTTACTTGAGAACTACACAGCTTTCCATACGTTTAGTGATTTTTTATGATTATTATAAACCGAAATATTTAAGGATGGGATACAAAGCAAGTATATTGTGGCAAGGATACAAAGACCAGGATGTTGTGGCCTTTTGGATGGTCGCAGTCTCCTTTTGTTGTATAGAAGTTGTTTGACCCTATTTTTGCAACTTGGTCATATTGGCAGGAAGACCTAGAGGAACGCAACTTGTCCGGAGTCCATAGTCTGCATGGTAATATCCAGTCGGACCGTAGACTTGGTATATTCCCAGGCACTTCGCCAGCACCGTCAATGAGCCTTGCCATTCTTAACACCACACTACAACTCGTCAGAGACGAGGGAAGTCGATCCTTTGACCAATTGTGGGCTAAACAGTTGTGTTATCTCACCGTCTG